CCACCCTAGCCCCAGGCAGCATCGGGCACCCAGAGTCCCTGCCGGGCCTGACCTCATGACCTCTGCATAGCTCATGGCCTCATCGATGCCTGGGAAGGCGCTCATGGCTTCCTGCATCATCTTCTTGCCCATGCTCAGCATGTTGTCCTCCTCAAAGAACTCGTCCGGCAGCTCTGCCACACCCAGGCTGGGGTCAATCTCCTGGGGGCCGAGAGGGTCAAGACTCAGGCTGCTGTTGCTGGAGCCTTCCCACCTGGGCACGGAGCCCGAGGGAGCCTGTAGGGTGCCCTGAGCACAGTCCTTCACCAGGTCACAGCTGGGGAGACCTCTGAGGTGCCCTGGCCCTTCCCTTAGGCGCTTAAGGTCTCGGGTGGTGGCACAGATTGTTAACGTCTTTCACAAGCACATGGAAAATCGCCAACTGTGCTTAGTGTCCCAGAGGGAAGCCAGAGTGCGTTGCAGTGCCTTCTCACGGACTGTTCCCCGACCCGGGCCTGTGACCTCTTCCAGATCATTCCTCTAACATGAGTCATCCCTGACCGCCCAATCTAACAGTGCAGCCCTAGGCCCCTCTGCCCTGCCTTCCTTTCTTCTTAACATCTGGCCTCTCCTCACATGGTTTACTTAGCATGTTTTTCACTTGTCTCCCCAACCAGAATGCTGGCCCCACAAGGGCAGGGGGTTTTCTGTCTTGTTCACTGCTGTGTCCCCAGTGCCTGGAAGTGTCTGGCACAGAGTAAGTCCTCAACGTGGATGCAGATTCCATGAAGGGGATGACCAAGCCTGGGGTCCCTGGCCCATCCTGCACTCATTGCCTCTCTATCTCCCGCCTGTGTCACCTCTTCTACTTGACTTCATGTCTCCGGTGGCGAAGCCCTCCACTCCCTGGCCTCAGAGGTCATTTCCCTGCAGGGAGCTTGTCCACACATCACCCCCCCACAGTCACACCCTTGATCAGTTGTTCCTAGTCACCAGGCCACTCTCTGACCCCAGCCTTCTCACTTCCTGTTATTCTAGACCTTCCTGGGCCACCTCATCCCCGCACCTCTGCCCGCTTGTTCACCGTCAGTGTCCCTCTTGGGCGGCCCTCTTATCCAGCCCAGTCTCCACAAGATGCCTCTGCAAACACTCCCTTCTCCCTCTGTGGTTGGCAAAAGCCCCATCCTGTTTATTCACAGCTCGCTGGCATGGCTACACCGAGGTGAACATCAGGGGAACATCCCAGACGAAGAACTCAACCTTGCTCCCCATTCCTGATCACAAATCTCCAACAGGCACTCGACGAGCCAGAAAATCCACCCATGGGAATGTTAATGCCACATCTTCTCCCTCCTCAAACCCCTTCTGGCCCGTGTGCCCCTCACCCTCTGTTGAGGCCTGTGCCTCGCCTGTGCCTCAGTGAGAAAGTGAAGCCACTGGCTGCCAACACCCTCATTTCCTCCCAGGAAACGCCCCAGTCCCCCCACATTCCTTCTAAGCCCCTGGTCCTGGCAGAGCCCAAGTCCTGGGTCTGTGCGCTGGAGCGAGCTCACGCCTGCCTGAGGCCCGTCCTCAGCCAGCATCCTTACTCCTTCCTGCAATATCACTTGTCCCTCCCAGTTGAAGCTTCCCCCCGCCGCCCCCGGCTGCACCGCGCAGCTTGTGAGATCTTAAGTTCCCTGACCAGGGGTTGAACCTGGGCTCTTGGCAGTGAGAGCCCAGGGTCCTAACCACTGGACCACCAGGGAATTCCCTAAAGCATGTGCAGCAGCAAACAAACATGCTCTAGCATCTCCTTCCTCAGAAAAGCCTTCCTTAACCCTCATTCCCTTCCCCCTCCAGGGATGGCTATGCTCATTTCTCTGCTCCCATCATGGTGATCACTGTGTCCACCTCAGCTCACCCATTCCAGGCAGGCTTCTGACCCCATTCCCAGGGTGATCTGCTTAAAACTGATGTGCCTGCTAGAGCCGACAACCTTTCTGCCCTAGTCCCTTTGTCCTCCTGGAGCTTAGGAGCCCACACTCTCTGGCTTTCCTCCCACCTCACCTGTGGCTCCTTCTCGGCCTCTTTCAATGGTTCTTCCTCCTCCTCTGCTGGACCCTAAATGCTGATGTGCCCCCGGGCTTGTTTCTGGGCCTCTCTATTCTTTCACATGCTCCTCCACTCACACAGCTTTAAATACTACCCTTGGGACAATGACTCTCAAATCAACGCCAACCTCCTCTGAGCTCTAGCTTCACATAACTAAGCTGCTGTCCTGATGTCTCCACTTGGATGACCAGTGGGCACCTTGGTCTCACTGTGGCCAAATAAAATTCCTGACTTTTGGTCTTCTAAACCTGCTCCTCTCCCAGTCTTCCCCACCTCAGCTGCCCAGGGAGCTAACTAAGACATGTACTTATGCTTAATTCATTTTTTTCTCTCACCCATTACAAACAAGCAGTTAAATTGCTTTACTTCCAAAATACATCCCAAATTTGACCACTTCTCACCCCTCCTCCCAATTTTGGGCTGCCATCATTCCTAGCCTGGTCACTGTCCCAGTCTCCTTGTTTCCATCCTTGACTTACAATCCAATTTCTGCATGAGAGCTACAGGGAACTTTCTGGAAAATGGATTTGGCCATGACATTACTCTGCTTAAAACAAACAGCTTCCCATTAACTTGGAAACAAAGCTAAACTGATCTCAGTGGGCTGCAAGGTCCTACACCATGTGGTCCTGATTGATGTCTCCCTCCCTTCCCTTGCTCACTAAGCTCCAGTCACTCTGGCTTCCTTTCTGCTCCACAAACGTTCCTCACTCGTTCCCCTGTGGGTATGCTGAAGAAGGAGTGAAAGTGGAGAGACAGAGGATGGAGAATGGGCAGGACACGGTAGCTGATGGTGGGTGTTCCCAGGAAAGGCCTGAAGGTGACTTTGCCAGAGTTGGGGCGGGGGGGCGGGGCTGAGCCCTGCTGCACTCACCATGGCGAAGAGGTTGTCATAGCCTTTGACCTTGGTAGGCACCTTGGAGAACTTCTGGTCAAATGCATCCGAGATATTGTGGGCTGGGTCAGTGGAGATGATCAGAACACTCTCCCGCCCCTTGGATAGCTGGACTGCTAAGCTGCAGCTGGGCAAGGGAAAGGCCAAAAGGTGGGAAGTGAAGGGTTAGGCTCTGCTCCTTAGGTCTGCATGGGGAGAAGAGTCCCAGGAGCAGGGGACCTGAATCAGCAAGGGCCTTGAGAGAAGAGTGCGGATGACTGTGGGATCAAGCCTCAATCCCCGCAGAGGGACACTATCAGACCTCACCTACTGAGCCCTCCAGCTGGCTGTATAGTGGTAAGGTTCAGCTGAATGTGTCCGTCCCGCCTAAGGCCTGCTTCCTTGCTGGCACAAAGTAACATGGTCCAGCTATCCAGCCAACTTGACCCTGTGTCCCCTCCCTCAACTCTAAGCTAAGGGGTCCTTTGCATCTCCTGCTAAATTCGATAGTTCAGTCCACTTGTCCAGGGTAATTTGCCCCGGGGACCCCTCCCCCTCTTCCCAGCTGAATGGGTAGTCTGATCATGTGCCCTCTCTCCCGCCTTCCACCCCCACCCCCACGTGGGCATAGAATGGCAAGGTTCACCAGACTAGGATAGTTCGCCCCGGTGCCCCTCCCCCTACTCTGGGCTCACTCTGGTACAGTCTAGCTGATTGGGACATCTAAACGCTCTCCAGGCTCCCGTGCGCTGGATCCAATGTGGTTCAGCCCTTGAACAGGCCTGCATTCAGGAGGTAGCTTCCATTTGCTCCAGATAACTTCCGAAGAGTACAATCCGGAAGGCCCCAGCCCAGCCCTCCTGCCCGGCTGATGGTGGAAGACCCGGTCCTTGGCCTCCCCTTCGCCCTGTGGTACATCCCACCCGTTTTCCCGGCCACCACCGCAGCCTCCTTACCTGCAGGTGGTCTTTCCAACACCACCCTTGCCCCCGACGAAGATCCACTTAAGGCTGCGCTGCTCGATAATGTTGCTAAGCGTGGGCTCCAGCGGCTCCACATCAGGGGCATCCTCGAACTCCTCTGCCTCAACCCCCCACCCGGCCACCCCTGCCGCCATCTTGGAAACGGCTCACGTGATCAAGCGGAGCGCACCATGCAAAGCACCTACGGGGAAATTTCCTATCACAACCCCATCAAGGCTAGAAGATTGAACCAATTTTCTCATGGCCTAACTTTTAGGAGCTAATAGAAGCCATATTTCCAACGTCTTCCCCTTCCAAGGTTCAGCTTGTCAGCCTCTTGTCTATATTTTCTTCAAGGACTCCCCCTTCCTAATTAACATGTTGATACATCCCGAGTTACTCCCCTTTACTGATTGGCCCCTAAGTCTTGCAGCGCTCCTTTCATTGGCTACATCTTTTCTTACTTTTACCAATCACTCTCAGGTCCCGGTAGCCGCCAACCTCTCCTTAGCAACCGGCCAAACACCCGCTGCATACCTTTTTCAAGAAGTTAGATCCGAGGTCCACCCTGACCTGACTCCATAGGCTCAACTTCATGTCGATCATTCCCCCTCTATTCTCCAACCTGGGTCCCAACACCGCCTCAGGCCCGTCTCTTCTGTTATTCAATTGGCTGGGAACCACCGGGCTCCTGACGCAAACCAATCATAAACGAACCGATTAGTTGGCTGGAGGCCAACTAATCTGTGGGCGAGGTCCGCAGATCCTTGTCCAGTGAGCCCTGAGCCCCCATGCAGGACAGGACAGGGCAGGGACAACACTTGCAGCTGCGCTCCTTGTCGTAGAAGGGACCCTGTTCCCGAAAACCTCCTTCCAGTTTGCTCTCTGTCCGAGGGGAAACTCCAGTTCAGCCAGTTCTCTGAAACTCTGCCCTGGGCAGGAATACAGGCTGGGTCCCAGGCCCTTAGCGGACACTCTTAGATGGAGACTCCAGCCTAGAAATATCCGCGGTTTCATGAGTACTCTAGCACATAAAATAATACCCTGACTTTCAAATGGGGACCCCAGCTCCTTGGAGTCAGCTGTGTCTCTATTCCCAAATAAAAGCTGTCCCAGAGACAGGTACCCAATCCAGAGACACCCCCATTTCTATTCTGGGGGCCCAGGCTAGATATGCTCTCTAGTTAGTCCTAGTTAGGGACCCAGCTTCCGAGGTGTCAGCTGAGCACACAGCCTCAGGCGAGGTCCCACCTTCACTGAGATTATCCCTGGTGCCAGAAGTGGATTCTAGCCCCGAAAAGCTAATACGCCCCCAAGTCCCAAGCGGGAACCTCACTCCGAGAGCCCGCTACAGCCCCAGGCGCAGACAATAGCCTCATTCCGGAAGAGACCATCCCTGCGTAAAGTCTGCGGGAGTCTAGCAGGGCTATAACGATCCGCGGGGCGGGGGCGGGGCGGGGCGGGGCGGGGCGACTGCCCGCCGGTGCGTAGCGTCAAACCTTACTCCTCATTCACCCCGCCCCTCATGCCCCGCCTCCACTGCGGATGCCTGAGGGCCAGACCGGTCTTCCCGGCATGCATTGCCCGGGACGAGGCAAGTCTGGCGCCAAGCGCGGGCCCGGAGCGGCCTTCCCGGAATCCTTTGCGAGGTACCTGGCGACAAAATGGCTGCCCGAGGGAGACGGGCGGAACCTCCGGGCCGGGAGGCGCCGGGCCCCGCGGGCGGCGGCGGCGGCGGGAGCCGATGGGCTGAGTCCGGGCCCGGGACGTCGCCCGAGAGCGGGGATGATGAAGTGTCGGGCGCGGGTTCGAGCCCGGTGTCGGGCGGCGTGAACTTGTTCGCCAACGACGGCAGCTTCCTGGAGCTGTTCAAGCGGAAGATGGAGGAGGAGCAGCGGCAGCGGCAGGAAGAGCCGCCCCCGGGCCCGCAGCGACCCGACCAGCCGGCCACCGCCGCCGCCGCGGGTCCCGGGGATCCGAAGAGGAAGGGCGGCCCGGGCCCCACGCTCAGCTTCGTAAGGAGCCGCGGGGGTGGGGGCGGGCGCCAGGGCCTTCCTTGGCAGGGGGAATCGGGCTCGAGAAAGGGGAGCGGGATCCAGGTCCACCCTCCGACCCCGATGAGGGAGCCGTCCGGGTCACCCGCTGAGGATTCGGAAACTGGATTCTCGACGAGAGAGGTCTGGGGGCGGAGGTGGGGACCCCCGCAGTATGCCCGCAAGAACTGGGAGCTGGGGGAAATTCCATTGGAAACAGCGCTCCGAGGATGGGGAAACCAGGATACCAGGATTCCTGTTTGAGTGGAATCCCGAACTTTGGATACTGGGACCATCTCCCACTATGGGGATGGGGGGCATAGTCAAGTCTGGACTCTGAGCTGTGTGGATGAGAGACTCAGACTGCTTACTGTGTGACCCTAGGAGATTTGCTTGAGTTCCCTGAGTCTCATTCGTCCAGTGTCCATTTATTGAGCACCTTACCTTGTGCTGGGCAGTGTGCTAGGTGATGGGTATGCTGTGTTGATTATGACAGGCATCTCTGCTTTCCTGGGGCGTCTGATCTGGTCTAACCTCATTTTCCCTGCTTGTAAAAATGGGCATCATCGCATCTTCTGATGTGATTAGCACTGGGCTTTTCTTATAGGAAGGGCTAAACCAGTGGTTCTCAACTGGGGACGATTCCCCTCACATCATCCCCACATTTGCCAAAGTCTGGAGATATTTTGGTTGTCAGAACTGGGGGAGGGAGTGCTATTGACATTTATGAGTAGAGGGCAGGAATGGTGCTCAACATCCTACAATGCGCAGAACAACTGTCTCCCCCTCCCGAACAAAAATGATCCAGTTCAAAATGTCACTAGTATTTGTGATTGAGAAACTCTAGGCCACAGAAATGGTACCTACATTGATTGTCAACTCTGAGCTTGCTTTGTCTCTGGTGTTGAGAGCAAGTTCCTGTGGTATGGAGAAAAAAGTGTGGTGTGAGAGTAACGAACTGGGGGTCAAGTTTCTTCATCCGTCAAAAATGAGTGTGAGAGTAGTCCCAGCAGCGCAGGTCACTTAATGCCTGGCTTAGGGATAGGGATGGGATGTCTGTAAAGCCTGTTGCAGCCCCTGGGGCACAAGAAACCCTCAAGTCTGTGGGAGAAAACAGAGGACCAGGATGAAAGTTCAGAGTAAGACTTATGTTTGAGGAAGGGGAAGTGGCAGGACCTGGGCTGGTGTGAGAACTGGGTGGAGGCCAAGTGCCCCTCTGTGAGTGAGAATAGTAGTAGTTGTCGCTGCCTGTTTCATTTGTTCATCAAGGGGCCATTTGCAGGAGCACCCTCAAAGAGGCCAGGCCCGGTTATGTGTAGGGGGACAGTGTCGCTTGGTGGTTAAGAATGCTGCTCTGTGGCCTAGACACACCTGACTTTGAATCCAGCTCCACTGTTTGCTGTTGGCATGATCCATGGTACAGGCTTCTCCTTTTCAGAGATGTTTCCTCATCTTTACAATGGGGATGGTAACCTTCATCGTAAGGTGACTGTGAAAGTGGAAGGAGATAGTATATCCAAAGCACTTGGCACAGGGCTTAGCATACAGTAAGTGCTCAATAAAGGGAGCTGTTGCTGCCTGTGTGGTTTCTACTAGGGGAGGGTGAGGACAGTGCTCGTCCCCACCGATGTGGGAATTCTTTTCTCTCCCTGGGAGGGCAGCCCCGGGGGCCCAGGACTGCCTGGGCATCATGGGCCCAGGGCAGGCGCTGAGTCGCGTGTGCTCCTCTCTGATTGCTGCGCAGGTCGGCCGGCTGGTGGAGCTGGGCGCGGCGTCGGGACGGGCCACCGGGCCGGGCTAGGAAGGTGTAGTGGGCCTCAGCGCCGCCAAGGGCGGGCCCCGGCTCCTGTAACCGTTGCAGTCTTCTGTCCCCTCACCCAGGTGGGCAAGCGCAGAGGCGGGAACAAACTAGCCCTCAAGACGGGAATAGTAGCCAAGAAGCAGAAGACGGAGGATGAGGTGAGCAGGCTGGGTGTGGGGGGCCGCCCACGTTGCCTCTTCCTTCCAGCCTCAGTTCCTGGCCCAGGTGCCCTGTCCCTCCCTCCTCAGTATCTAGCCCTTGGATGGGTGTACTGGGTGGGGGAGGAGGGCTTTCAACAAAGTTCCCAGATAACTTGATTCTCCATATCTTTACCTCACACCCAAGACCTTTGCGGTGACTCTGTGGGTGGGTCAGCTGTCTCAGGACAGTCCTGACCCTGGTTCCTGGCCTCCTTGGCATCTCCTTCCCAACCCCCGTGTGTCCCTCCCCTCCCCCCAACAGGTATTAACAAGTAAAGGTGATGCATGGGCCAAGTACATGGCAGAGGTGAAAAAGTACAAAGCCCACCAGTGCGGCGATGATGATAAAACTCGGCCCCTGGTGAAATGACCCCCCTCCCTGCCTGCCCACGGCCTGGGACTCTGCGATGTACATAACTATTTAATGCAGCGGCAGCGCGGCAGCCTTTTTCCCCCAAGGACTTATATACAGAAGGAAACCGAGATGCTTCCCGCAGCTGCCGCAGCTGCGGACGATTCTCCAGGACTCTTTTTTACCTTGAGCACTTGCCTCCTGAGACTTCATAGAACAGTGGTTTACTGTCCCCTGTCTTCCCAGTTCCTCCCTCTCTCTGGCTCTTTCTGTCTCTTCCTCTTCTCATCCTCTCCTCCCTCCCTTTAGCCATCACTTCTGGGAAGTAAAGAACTTGACCTAGTGCTGGAGCTGTGTGCTTGGTTTGCCTTCTTTGCTGTTCTCCAACCTAAGCCCTCCCCTCATGGCTGGCACTGCACCCACCAAAGCCCGGATCTGGCCCAGTGAGGGAGGGATTTGGGATGGTGTGGGGGGAGAACAAGGGTGCATCACCTCCTGTAGGCCTGAACTCTCCTCAGGTCTCACCCACTGTTGGGTGTTCTTGTTCAGTGTCTCTTCACAGTCCCATCTGGGCTGGGCCAAAGCTGTCAGTTTGTTCAAATCAGAAGACACTGAGCACCTCTGGTGTGCCTGGGTTTTTCTGAGCCCTGTGGCTGCTGCAGTGAACAGAACAGACCATGCATGCTCCCTGCCATTGTGGAGGAAACAGACACAGATGAAAGGGGGAAGCCATTCTGGGAGGTGACTGCAAAGAAGGACAGGATAGAGGCTGCAAGG